AGATGGACTTACGCGCTTGGAAATTCAATAAGCAGGTATTTAGGCAAAGTCATATCTTTATATATTGTCGTTATGGTGCCTGTCTTTCGTTAGGTGTAAGCACTTGTGCATTTTAAGATTACCGGATAAGATAGATTTACTCAAGGGGTGCTTTGTAAAGAATTTGTACTTAACCTCACGACTGGTATTATCTCGTGTTCTGGCCTAGTCACATTTGTCGCAAGATTGTCGCGAGATTGTCGCAAGATTTCAAACCGACAGCATTCTTGGGATAGTTGTGCCTTTGTCGTACAAAGCCCAGCTGTCTTGAGACGGAAAAGCTTGTCTCAAATCATTGTAGGTCGTTGTTTCAGTCACAACCTTCTTGTAAATCTAAAAACATGAAAATCGTACGTACGACGAACAAAATAAATGTGATCACACCGTTTAACATAGTTACATTGTATTAATGGGTGCTTATGTTGTGCCGTTATGAATCGCACAAACGCAAAAAGCCTTCACCTTTAAATCGAAAATGGTTATACCGTTAAACCGTTGTTTTCCCTAGGTAGTTCTAGAATCTGTGTAAAAAAATTAAGACGTACAAATACTAGTGCAGTGCTGTGCCCATATAAATTGCAAAAATGCAAAAGCCTTTTAAATTGAAATCATTATACATGTGTATGTGAACCATTGTATTCTCTAGGTAGTTCTGGAATCTGCAGGAGAAAAAAACTAAAGACTTACCTTTACCGAGTGCTAAGATGTCTTGGAGGACACTTGTAAGGAGCAGATCTCGTCCGAACCGGTCCCAAGTCTTCTCCCTGCAGTCTGGGAGGGAAACCAGAGGTTGGTGATGACGTTGATCGCGAGGTCAGGACCTTTGCATCCGCCCTTTTAAATACTAGTAGAGGGTCTGTATGGGGGGATCCCGACAACGCTCTACGCTAGATTTTAAGAGCTGGCTACGTATATTACGCTGAGTTCAAGAAGCCTCCCCCATTACCCTTTACGATGAATTCCGGGTAGCTGCAACATATTACGTAAAATAAAACGGCGAAATACGCTCTACGCAAAATGCGGCAATTGCACTCTACGTTGAATTAGAGCGGTCCGGTCCGTCTACGCTCTACGTAGAATGAAAACGGCCGATGTGGGGTCGTGTGGCGTAGCGGCAGAGTGCGCGACTCGGAACCTAGAGGTCCCGGGTTCGAGTCCTGACATGCCACCGATCTTGTGCCCTTGGGAGAGGCACTTTACACGACTTTCCTCACTTAACTCAGGTGAAAATGAGTACTGTCCTGTCATGTATTTGTCCCCTGTGTTGGTGGCGGCATTAATATAAGTTGAAAAACTTGAGTGTGCCGTCACCACGTCTGGTGATTACATGTTGGAATAAAAAAAAGGCCGATTACGCTCCACGGAAAAGGGCATGCGGACCCCCTAGCAGTGGTGCACGCCGCTTGGAAGCAGTGTGGGGGCGTTGTGTGTTTATTTCCACTGTCAAGGAGATGAACCTTTTCTGCACACTGTCTCCGCTAGTAGTTCAGGCCTCGAAATTAACTTTTGTTCCTATGGCTCAGCACTGTCCCCAAAATAAACTTCAATTGTCCCAAAGTGAAGATGAACTGTCCCAATCTGTTTTTCGGGAAATATTTTATGACCTCAACTTGACGTCATCTTTATTTTGCTTACGTTTTAACTACCAGGCGCACTATAATTGCAGAATAGACAGGAAATTGGGGGGGGGGGCTTTCCCAGAGCCAAAAGCTGGGACGTGTGCCTGATAGACAAAAGAAGGACTGTTATTCTGATGTTGATTACTATTCTGTTGTCCCAAAAATGTTCCAAAGTGTCTTTTTAGTTGTCCCGGCCTAACATTTTGGTGGTCAGTGGCCATCTGAACACCGTAAATTTCGATCCCTGCATGATGAACCTTTTCTGCACACTGTCTCCGCCAGAAGAGCACACATGGGTTACAAATGTCAACAGGAGAACCCTACAGCCTGGTACACAATAGTGAGGGTTTCAAGTGGTGCTGGTGCTTCAAAACATCCCGGCGTCTAGAGGTCATTAGCGTGGCATGTCCGTCGGCCCTCTTAGGCTGTGTGGATCTTGTCTGTGAAAAGATTGTCAGGACCCAATCACGTTTGTCGTACAATCGCCGTACGATCACAAGACAGTCGTAGGAATAGTCGCACATGTGTAGTGAAGAAGTGCCTTGCGATGGGAATTTGCTGTCTGCGATCCTATCGGCAGTTGGATCTTGTCTGTTAAAAGACTAGGACCCGTCGCTAGGACCCGATCACGTTGTCGTACAATCTTCGTGCGGTCACAAACTATCGTCAGTCGTAAGAATAATAGTCGTGCATAAGTAGTGCAGACTTCAGATGTCTCGGTAGGAGATTTTGTTGTCTGCGATCCTAACCGGCAGTTGGATCTTCTCTGTGAAAAAAAATCGTTAGGACCCGATCACGTTGTCCTAATAGTCGTACCGACTCGTACGATGGCAAACTGAAGGCAGTCGTAGGAATAGTCGTACATGTAGTGCAGGCTTCAGATGTCTGCTACGTGAAAGGCTGTCTGCTATCCTTAACGGCGGTTGAGTGGCCGATGTGACAGCATCGTTAAGAACGTAGTGATAAAGTATAACAGAACAAGCACATACCAGGTTCCCTCTGACCACCTTGTCCCAGCAGTGTAGCGCGAACGTTGGACGTACCTTGGTGCTATTTACCCATTCGTACGTCATTGTTAGCATCGTTTGCGGGACGTGATAAATCCCACAGTGATTATTGCGCGACGATGTCAGATTAATTCTCTGTTTGAAAGGGCAGAGGATTAGTTGGTAGTTCACCACCCTTTTACGATAATTAAAGTCGTGGAGGTGCAGTAGATATATTTATTTCATTTAGGCCACAGCAAGTAAGTTTTATGGTTAACAGCCCACGTAGACTCCAAATTTTGGAGTTGGAGTTTGGAGGCGTTGGGGCGAAAATTAAACTAGGTGGACCAAAAAAAAAACAAGATTTCTACATTTAACAATTTTGATATCATAAGAAAAATTATTTTTGCTTTGAAGCCTGTAGAAAATAAATGTGCGCGCTGATGTCATTAATAGACCTTACGTGCTGTAGACTAATTAAATAAAACATATCTACTCCATAGAGAGCTAAGAAATCAATATCGAAATGGGTATAAAATATAGAAAAGCAATGATTGCATTTTCAAGGCTTGTGGTTCAAGCGTCTAAAATACTACCTAATGATGATAGTGTGATTCAGATGTTTTCCGGTAGGTAGCGTAGTTGACAATGCAAGTATCAGTGTCAGTGAGTGATGTCTTTAATTTACCCACATTTAGGTCAGTATACTATAATTGAGTCAGGACTGCAATCAGATAAAATGTTATTAATCATAGTATATCATCAAGGACAATTAGATGGTTTCATAAATGTCATTTGTTGTGACAAGTGCGTCAATCGTAATAATTTGAATACGCCTCTTCTGTTGGGTGACTCACATGACACTGTTATATAGGGACGGTTAAGTCCTATGTGACCTTTAAAGGCATCCAGTGCAATTTTAGGGCTTGAAAACCAGATTGGTCAATATCCAATATATTGGTCACTTATCTACATACTTATCTCAAGTTGAAAATGTCCCATTGTATATCGACATTCATGGAGCCAATAGGCTCAAAATTCTGACGAAAAACGGTTGATTTTTAGGGTACCACCTGAAAATAAAGGACTTTATCTTGGGGCTTTTCTCTGCAGTTTTAAATGCCTAAACTACTGAAATACTGATTCAAAAGTGCTCATGTGTTACAGTATATGCCAATATCATACATGTACAGATCGCCTTATTCAGAATATTTCCAGTTTTGCCGCCTTGAAATTGCATGGGATGCCTTTAAAAGACTTTTCGTAGGTTATTGATAAATGTTGAACGGAGGCCTGCACAAGAGGCTAAATCTACGTGTAACTATGACTAAACATGCCTCTCCCATTTTGAACAATGTGCCAGAAAACCGGTCCAACGACTATTGTTATCAACCGAGTTTGGGACGAGTCCATCGGTCCTGTGGGGGTTACAGGTTCTAGTATGTTGAAAATTTTGAATGTCTATGGACACTCACCAACAATCGAATCCTATACAATGTATGGGTATTAAGAATATATTTAGCGTTAGAAAGATAAACTACTTGTTTTTAGAATAGTTTCAGGGGCATATCATGGATCATCACTCCCCCCTCGTGACTAATGATTCATGCCTGAAGATGAACAGCTGGTAAACCTAACCTTTTTGAAAGAAAAACACGTCATCGGTGTCCATTTTGTGGGCTGTTAGTGATACCAAATTGATAAAGATTGCGAAACTATCCACAGTTGTAAGACGTTGTACGGTTTGTAAAACCATAGGGGAAACGTACCAGGTAAGCAGGCTAACGTTAAATTCAAATCACTATTGAAACTGCAATATAGACAACAAAGAAAGAAGGGTTAGTGTAGTACATTGTTCTCTGGAACGGTAAGTGGGGAGGGGGGTAGTAACGTAGGCGTTGGGGAAGAACCACCGTTACTGTAACATGAATGTGGCTCCAAAAGACTTGTGTCATTCTAAGATATACTCATGTGCCTCTCTAAGTGCCACATTGTTTACAATTTTTTGCACATAAACAGAGTATTTGCTACCAATAAAGAATATTATTATCAATAGTGTTTTAGCTTGATCTCTTGTTATTTGCTTTATCGTATGAGGCTATGCTTAGTGCTATCTCCAACTATTGAAACTACTACTAGATAAATAACAATCATCCTAGTAGAAACATGTGTCTCATTCAATGTTACAGCAAAGACAATGATACAGTAACATTTGGGACATTAATTTATAACCGATGCAAAGTCTAGATATGGAGTCCCTGAACCAGTAGTAAACACATTCGCCCTACAACGATTTTATTTATACATTTGTTGATTAATTGATTGATTCGTTGTTTGTTTACTGCTTGCAGGTTTCCAAAGATGAACGTGTTGTTGCCTTAAGGCTATTGTCAGTTACAAGCCGGCATAACCACCTCAACCATGGATACACTTACCGAAGACGGTGCCATGTCTGAAGACGGGTTGGAGCAAGAATTCGACCAAGAGTTCCTGACCTGTCCCGTCTGCAACAAACTGTTTAGCGAGCCCAAAATCCTGCCTTGTCTGCACACGTTCTGCAAATCGTGTCTGGAAAAATGGGTCAAACAGAAGGTATGATAATAACAAATCTCTCAAATGATTACACCTGTAATTTGTAAATATGTAATACTAGGTATATCTAATATGTATAATGTATAATTTTGAATGCTGCTATTTTTAGATTGCAAATTTGTGAATGATATCAATGTAAAGAAATGGTTCTCTTAAGATTTTTAATCTTCTGTGTAATTCGATAATGTTTTTTTTGTAAATTAGCACTAATTCAGATTTGTCGGAAGTCTGCCAAATGCTAATAAAGCTTTTTATGTCTTGTCTTAAAAGGTATCCTGTCCGTTCTGTCGCACCAACATCAAACTACCGGCCGAGGGCGTGTCAGGTCTTCCAACAAACTTCAACGTCAACAAGCTCCTAGATTTCAGAAAGCTGCAGAAGAGTAAGAACCTCCCTTGCCAGCTGTGCGAGACCCACGTTAAAGCATCCTCCATGTGCGTCGACTGCGGCAAACTGCTATGCGAGACCTGCCTGAAGCTGCACAGCAAGCTTCCTCTGGCCAAAGACCACGACATTCTTACCTTCGAGGAGCTGAGGAGTAAGGAAAGACGGTCGAGGTACCATCGCAAGCTGTACTGCCGCGATCATCCCGACCAAGTCCTGGCATTCTACTGCGATCCTTGCGAACGTCTTGTCTGCCGCGACTGCACCATTGTACTTCACCGTCCTGGCCCAGACCATGACCCTATGGAAGTTGGCAAGGTAGCTTCAGGGCGAAGAGAAACACTGGTCACCTTACTGAAGGGCACGGAAGGACTCTTAGACAAACTAGAGGAAGCTAAGAAGGCTATCGAAGTCGACTTGAAGCAGTTTCACGAAAGTCGCCAGGTGGTAGAGAAATCCATCTTCAACTACGCCGAAGAGTTAAAGATGACGATCGAAGCAAAGGCTGTACAACTAGCATCCGAACTAGACGAAAGATGGGAGAGGGAAGAATCATCGATCACGAGACAGAAAGAAGCCCTGGAGAAGATGCAACAAGAGGTCAAAGATGGCAGGAGTTTCTCTGAAGAAGTCTTGAGCCAGGGTAGCGACGCGGAGGTGCTGTCAGTCTGGCATCAGGTTGAGGACAGACTGAGGCAAATTCAGGCCTTAGAAGTCGGGTACGAGCCGTTCGATCGGAGAATGATGTTCAAACCGTCAAAGGAAGCTGAAGAAGTGGCGACTCTTCCCGTCATAGGATCGGTGGAAACGAGTGTAGTGGATCCTGCCGTCACAACGGTCATGATACAGGACTACGTAGAGTGTCTGCAGACTGTGATCAAGGTGGGCCCGCGAAATTCCGCCGGGGCACTCTGTAGTACCAACGGCATCAAGCCAAGAGTGGAGATCACAGGCCCAAAGGGAGACCGGGTGCACCTTGACCCGGAACCGGAAGAGAACGAGGACCACACATGGGACGTCATATGGACGCCATCTTTGAAAGGACTGCATTCGGTCAAGGTCATGATCGGTGGACACGAAGCAAAGGGAAGCCCGTTCGTCTGTGTCAAGAGCAACGATCCTGTCCTAACCATTGGTATGTATTCATTTACTACGACAGTACGACACAATGTATTTACGTACTTATTTTATATGTATATTAATGCATCAATCCAGACCAGTACAAGTGATTACAGAACATCTTATGATAAGTGTGTTTTAATGTAAATAATTTATAATGTTGGTAATATTTAGCTGGTGTGTTACGCCGAAAGGCGGTTATACCGGCTATACAGATACAGATACAGATATTTAGTATGCATATTTTACATTTTAAACTTTGTAAATTCAACAAAATTCAGGCTATGTAAGTCTGCAAGTTGAATAAAGATTCATTCTTAATATATCTTCCTTTATAGGTAAGAAAGGCCACGAGGATGGAGACTTCGACAACCCGATCGGATTAGCAGTCTACGAAGATAAGCTCATCGTCGCCGACGGACACAATGAAAGAGTGCAGGTGTTTTTTTTTTTATTCATCAAAACATTAAAACATAACAAGGACAGTATGCCGCTGCACTCAAGTTAATAACTTATATTAACAGCGCCGCACAACAAAAAAGTACAATTAACATTTAAATACACAAGGTCGACATATTTGTGCGCCGCAGTCCCACCACCCCAAGACATTAAAAAATGCTAACAAAGTTATTTGAAAAATAAGATTACGTGTTAACCTCCAAAATCTGATTGGCGGAAACACATCCGCCAATCAGAGCTAGAAGGAGAATTTAGGCCCATGTAGTATTTTGACTTCTGTATCTAATTGACTGTTAGAAACAGTCAAGCAGAGCTAGAAGTGCTTGGTATCTCCAATGTGCAGGTGTTTAAAGTCGATGGAACCCACCTAAGCTCGTTCCCAACCTCTGCCTTCACCAAGGGAGTGGCCGTGGATCGAGAAGGGAACATCATCGTCACGGCGGGGCAAGAGGTCATGATCTTCACGTCATCGGGGCAGCTTCAGCGGACGTTCACGCACGGGGATTTCGACATCCCTTACGGGGTCGCGGTGGACGGGGACGGCCACATCGTGATGGTGGACCGGGACGCGCACTGCGTCTTTCTGTTCGATTTCAACTGCAGGTTTGTTATTTTATTGGTTAATCTCCAATTAATACTGTGACAATGCAACCACTACTCTTCCTGGAACCCTCTTTTAAATACTAGTACTGTACTACTATATAACTACTATTTACATTTACTTTTAAAACAAAACAAACGTTGTCTTGCTAACATTTGCCATCTAATAATAATAACTAGAATGGTAAAGTTTGCTAAGCATATGCATAATGTTTACCTTCGTATATGGTCTGCTTTGTTATTCAAACACATTCAAATATTGTGACAGGAGTCTAAATCCTTCCTGCTATCAGATTGCAACATGATATACTAGTAATCCAGCACCAGTTACCATGGTAACAGACGTCTGGTTCATGTCATTTTACTTATTTGTTTGGAGAAGAAGAAACAGAGCAAAAAAATATTTTCCTTCGGTAAACAATAAACGCCATTGTATCAGGTTGATCCGGAAGATGGGCTCGGAGGGAGACGGTCTGGGCTGTTTCAACTACCCGAACTTCGTCACCGTGGATCGGGACGACAACATCATCGTGTCCGATCTGAGGAACCACCGAGCGCAGGGGTTCGATCCGGAGGGGAACCTGAAGTTCCAAATCGGCCACAAGGTGAGCAGTATAGACATTAGTATGCACGTTCATCTGTTCATCATAGTGACATGTTTAAAGTTAAAACTTTCGATCCAACACAATAAAGTTCTCTCACCTAGAGCTTTCGACCAGTCACACTGGTCTTCTTCAGTAGACTGGCCCAGTGAGGATTGTCACGTGGCATCTTTGAAGTGTGACGTCAACACTGGGTCGAAGGTATCTTGTAGACGATGTCGGCCCCCGTCGCGGTTAAGTGAAGGGTGGTGGGCCCTGAATGCAAGGGACATGTAATTCAGCCTTCTGGCTATGAAATATTCTCTAAATTTAAAAAAAAAATAACATTTTATTATTATTATTATTAAGGTGGGGATCGACGTGGAGCAAGGGGAGCTGAACTTCCCGACAGGCATTGCGGTGGACGCGGAGGGAAACGTGGTCATGGCGGAGTTATCCGGCAATAGGTTGAAGGTGATGCGGTCGGACGGGTTGGACGTGTGCACCATTAGCAGTGATGGGGACAAACTGAACAAGCCCCACGGGGTGGCTGTCACAGAGGACGGCTATGTGTTTGTGGCTGATTCTGGAAATCACTGTATCAAAAAGTACAAGTATCTGTAGATTTCCATAAATAATTTTATCATGTTGGAAGATACTTAGGGTATAGAATTTTCTTCTTACACAACCAGTAAAGGTTCTCACTTGCTTACGTTGCAGAACTCTAGTCAGAAGCTCTGAGGAAGGTGTCTGATAGACATCGAAACGTAAGCAGGTGAGAACCTTTACTGGTTGTGCAAGAAGAAAATTCTTTACCCTAAGTATCTGTAAAGTTAGTAGAACTTCTTTGATTAGTGACTGCAATTTTGTAAGGTAAATTACGTACCTCCAACTTTTCGGTGTCCGCTGTACACCTTGATCACGGAATGACCTATTCTGGCGAGAACACGAGACTAGGTTGAGACTTGTGTGGATCTTCTAACCTTCCCTGCCTCTGTCAAGTATCTGTAAAATATGAAAAACCTTTACTAGCGATGCCCGTAGAGTAAGAAATAATCCTGAAAGTTGATCAAATTAGCACAAATTCTAAATTTATTTTGCTTGTAACTTGCTAGAGAATACTAGTATTGATAGTCATGGGTTGGACGGTGCTGTTCAGTCTTATTCCGCAAGACGACGCTTTTACAATGCCAACCACAAACTTGTAACCAAAGATGCCATTTATGATTACTAGTATGGCTCCTTACCAATTGGTTGTATTTATGGGATATTATATTATACAATGTAGATAGATGAGACACTATTATACACCTTAGACCTGGGTTTTTCTCACTTTCACGTTTTGCCCATTTAGAATACGAAGCAAAGACGGTCGTTTCATGAATTCATTATTGTGTTGGAACGGAATATGTGTACAGGTGCTGTGCTGTAGGTTGTTCACATTGTTTGCATTGTTGTTTTTTATTGCTCTTTGGGACATATTTAGTAAAGAGAAATTTGTATTCCTTTTTAACTTTTGATAAACCTACTCTAAGTAATCTCACAGCCGCATATATCCATACAATCACTACTAAGCGAGATGAAGCCGAAAAGAATAGAAATTAGACATTTATTTACACTCTTATATGTTCATATGTATGTAATATATATGTTTTATATCCTACCCGTTAAAGCTGGAATTAAAATCAAGGGTACTGAGACGCCATCACAGTATTTGTCGTGCAGCACAGCAACTATAGCATCCGTCGGCGTGAGCTTTGAACAATGATGTAAATTAAATCGCTTCAATTTGTCAAATGGTCAGTGCATTACATGCAATACGATGTGCATGATACTTGGGTAACAGCAGGCATGTCCATATATAGTGGTTGTGCCATCCCAATCAGTTCACAGAAAAACCTTTTAAACTGTACGGCTGACAAACACCAGGCCACTTTTATGCCAGCGTAACTATTCACAGGACTGTAATAGCTGTACAGTAATGGACGCAAAGGGAGTACGACGTGCAATCACCATTTGGTACACGCGTTGGCAATGTGTCATTCCAAAAAAAAGCAACCCCAATATCTTTAACATAGTACTTTTATTACACTGTTATGACCCAAAAAGTTTACCTTCACCTTAACATTGCTCCATCCTCGTCTGGAGGGTGAGGGACTGTGGTAGCGTCCAGCACAAGTCTTCTCCATCCTTGAAAAAGGTTGGACATCCAGGTAATAAGATACGCCAAAAAGCAGTTACTCAAGCAACAGGTATGATTTTGCTTGAATGTCCAGTCTCTGATGTCGTCTTCCAAAATCATATCCAGTTGCTTGAGTAACTGCTTTTTGGCGTATCTTATTATACCTGGATGTCTAACCTTCATCGACGCTTCTCCATCCTTCTCTGTCCTTGGCCATCTGTGTACAGTCAGCCAGGGACCTGCCTGTCCAGTCTCTGATGACATCTACTAAAAAGGAACCATGGTTTTATTGTTAGTTTTAAAAACATCTTTTCGCACAATTAAGGGACGAATAGAATGTTGTACAATCGCAATCTGAGGTTACTCATGGGGAAGTGGTGCCTGCGTCCTACAGATTTCGGCTGTCTTGTTTTGGAGAGTTTGTCTGGGATCCAATTATCGACAGTACTAGTTACTCCTGCTTAAACATCTTGTATGTCTTTTGACATTCAATTTCAAATCGTATGACTGTCCTACAAAAAATGTTACCTCGCCGTAAGACAAGGTCAATATACACGCAAAACTTCCTTAAACTGACCTATTGTATGACCTTCAGTCTTCAAGGTCAGCGGCACAACATTATAGGGTTAATATAAGTAACCCTTTCATCAGGTTTTGACAGACAGGGCGACTATATGATGACAGTAATTCAATCTCTGGCAATCTTGTCCATTTAAGACAAGTAGACTCTTTCAACAGTTTTTCACAGACAGAGTGACTGTAAGATAACAGTAATTCAGTCTCCAAGAATCTTGCCCATAGTCTGTCTAATGGACAATCTGGACTTCGCCCAAGCTAAAATCTTCCAGACAGTGGTCAATCGATGCTAGAAAGGGCAGTCGGTGAAGACTAGCTGCTAATCGACTGTTACAGAAAGTAACAGGACACGATATGCAGTGAGGCACTTTGTCCTGTAGATGTAGATTTAGACGTCTGTTATGCTAACGACAACAACACCTTTTAGTTCATTCCTAGACAAAGACTGGAGCTGTACAGTCGAAAATTTGGGTGAGTCCAATTTCTTTTGTTGGCTATTGCAGTTCAAACTTGTTTCATAATGTCCTCTACCAACTCAAATGAACTTTCAAGATAACTTTTAGCTACGAATAGGTGCACAGCTTGGTTTTATAGAAGTGACTGTGGAACTTTTCTACGAGTAAGTTTGATGAAACAGGTTGAGACTTGGGTCCATTAGTCCACATTTGTACCCCATTTCTACTCCAGTGCATTTGTCCACATGATGTTATAGAAATGATTGTGAAGCAAACCTTTGTAAGTTTGGTGAAACATGGTGAAATTTGGGTCCATTAGTCAACATTCGTAGACCCAGACACTCCTGGCAGCAATCATAATGGAGTCAAAAGGTGATGTCTACCGTCTGCACCGAATATATTCATTGAAAGCAAGAGTAAGACACTATAAATAGGACATAGAATAATCTAATCGTGTCACTGATTTTATGAATGAATCAAAGACCTTTGTTGTACATCTGTGCTTTTACGAGCTAAGTACAGATCATGTATAAAGCACAGAGATTACAGATATCACACCATACAGGCTAATTTTATTCCACCTAGAATTGCCAGCGACCTTTCAAACTTGCTTTGCATACTCAGGCCACAATCTAGAAGCGATTGGAAATAGTAGAAACTAGCCAGGTAGATAACTTGCCAGGGGATCGGAGTTGGTTAGCTAAAGGAGTGCAGTTTGACATCCAGTCTAATGTCTACTCAGTCCAGCCGCTTGTGAAGCCTGGTAGAGTTTAGCCTTGTGTAATACGTGTTTTAATGCTTTTTATCTGAAAGATAATTCCAGAGAGGGTCGTTAACACAATTAGGGAAGCTTAGGTAGCCGTACATCATGTTATAATCGCATTAAATACACTCTTGCGGAATGATTAGATTACAGACATATACCTGTAATCCCTGTATCTTTCAGAGAAGACGAAGTCTTGGACATGCAAATTACAATAAGGTTCGTGGGACCTCCCCCCATATAAAATGGCCCACCCCTGAATGCGACAAAATGGTAATGATTTAGGACACTTGTCCTATATCGTTGCATATGCATTGGTAGAACCGGTATTCTTACGAGTACACATATATGATAGTAATTCAAGTAGAGTTTAAGTCATAAATTTGGGTTACATTTGTGTTTTGCCCTTTGATTTATTTTTTTAAAATCTATTTTCGTTACGTTCTGTTGCGGTGTCGGGATCGAGTTACAAGCACAGCGCGGGAAAAATGAGCCGCCTGACTCGTCTGAAGTTCCACGAAGTTTTACTCGCTTCAGCAAGCCAAGTAAGGTCTCAAATGTACTAGATGTTTGTTGAATGTGTTACTGCGTTGGTGGTTTATGTTGTAATAGTTTGTTTTCGACGTAACTTGTGTCTGATGAAAGATTCTACAGGGTGTGTGTGTACTGTGTATTGTTGGCATTTCAATCGTGGGGACGGGGGTCGTCTGAGTTTTGTACTGATGATAGTATTTGAAGTAGTTTCAGTCGAACTTTGGGTTGAAGTTGTGTTTTATTTACTTTTTTTCAACGCTCTGTTTTGTGTTGGAATCCATGGCAGCCACAATCTGTGCAGTCTGTCTGCTGAGTTCCACAAATTTTTACTCACTCCAGCTCCCCAGGTAAGGACTCAAACTTCCCAGTTTGTTGAATGCGTTTCTTCATAGATGGTTCATGTTGTAATATTTTGTTTTTGACGTAACTTGTGACTGAACGATTTTACAAAGGGAGCTCACGGTTTTATTGTTTACATTTGTGTGGTAGGGAGGGGGGTGTCGTCTGAGTTTTGTATAGATAACAGTATTTAAAGTGCCGTCATAACTTTGGATTACACTTGTTTTTAATTTTATTTTTTTGTTGTTGAACGTTCTGTTGCAGCGTTGGAATCCAGTCACAATCTGCGCGGGAAAAAGGAGTCGTCTGCAAGTTTTACTCGCCCCAGCTCTCAAAGTAAGGGTCTCAAAGTTCCTACATGTTTGTTGAATGTGTCCTTGCATTCATAGTTGATGTTATAATGGTTGGTTTTTGTGTGGTGGGGAGGGGGGCTTTTGCAATTACGATTTTCAAGCAGCACTCATGATAGTCAACGAAGAATAGCTGGGTTTGGATTTGGATAGATACTGGGAATGGCCCGTTTAGTTGGGGTAAAGCGCCAAGGAAGTGGTACTGCGATGTTACTGCCGATTCATCAGATGTTGGGAGACTAATCTCCAAGCAGATCCTAGGGTGGCGAAAGACAGTATCCCTTGGCCACAGAGGGTGGCGTATTAAACCCTCTCTTGCCAATGGATACTGTCTTTTGCCACCCTAGGATCTGCTTGGGGTTATTGGGAGACGTCCTCCCTGACTGAACTTTGTCAGATTTGGTATTTGAGTGAGTGTATATGGA